CAGCCCACCCCCTCTAAAATGTGCTGGTGCCCCATGACTCCGTATCTCCCATGCAGATCCTGGACTCCAGAGCTCTCTAATGGCCTTCCCCGTGCTTCCCCCACCATGTCCCTAAACACATGCCCCAGTAACCACCACCAGTCATTCAGGCCAGAAACCCGGCAGCCTCCTTTCTTTACCCGCTCCGGTCTATCCACAGTCTGCCTGGTAACCCTGCCTCCACCAGTATTTCGAATTGCCCACTTCTCCCCACACCCCCTGCCTTACCCCCTTACCCCCTCTCTTAGTTCAGGCCCTCATAAACTGAACTTCCTGAATTAGACCACATTTACCACTGCAGACTGAGATGTTTTGAGATCTAGGGACAGTAACACCAGGAGACTAGGGTCTGAGGTTCAGCTTTGTCATTGATTAGTCCTGTGACATTGAACAAGCCCCCTGACTTCTTTTTTAAGCCTGTCTCACATGGTGCTTCAGTAGTAGGGATTAAAATACAGCCTACATGAGATGCCTTGTAAGTAAACAAGGGAGGATTTGCACGCCCATAGCCAACTTAAGAGGGGGTGGAGAGTAAAGAGCACCAATACGTGTTGAGTCCTAAGTATATGCCATGTCCTGGTTGGGGCGCTGTTCACACACCACCTCCCTCCATCCTCAGGGCTCCACGCTGCTGCCTATCCAGAGAACCCCTGTTCTTTATGTTCCTCCTGGGTCTACACTGTTCCCAGACTGTCTGTTCTCTGAGCTGTTATGTAAATCCCAGCTAGCCCAGTATCCATAGAAACCAGAATCTCCCATCTTCCTCAGCCTGTTTCCCTGGCAGAAGAATCCCACCCAGGTGACACCCACATATAAGGACAAACAGCGCCCCAGAGGAGGGGAGCTTCCGGCCATGAGACCTCAGTACTTGTTTAGTAGTTCCTGAAGGCATTTGTCCAGTCCTCCAGTCAGGGCTGGGGGAAGGAGTGAGTGGCACAGGCCAGTGTAAGAAGCCGCATTTTCTTTTTGAAATCTGGAAGGGAGATGCTGCAAGCCCAATGTCTCACATCGCTAACAATCATCTTTGTCCTGCCCAAATGGCTCCACTGCTCCTGGAAGTTAAGGTCACCTTCACGGTGGACATGAGTCAGTATTTGTCATCATCTTTAACCTCATACATACAAGTATATCTGTCATCTCTGGGACATGATTTCATTGTGTATAATCAATTACTAATTTTATGAACATTTTTTTAAGGATCTTGTTCCTCTCCAGAATAACCTTTCTTATGCCTAAAACATGAATACTCACTAGTCTTTTTTCTTCCCTAAGGTCAAAACATGAGACAAAGTTTCTGTTCCCAGTCCCAGATTCTGGAATATTGGCCAGCAGCAGCATCCTTAGTCAGCAGTCCCTACTGTGCACAAGACATAGGCTTTTGCTAGTGACAGAAATAGGATGCTAGAATTGGAAATGCCCGTTTCACAGTACCAAAAAGCAGTTCAGTGGCTAGATTAGTCTTGCAACTATTTAAATAGCAGAGCCAGGTAGGACAATAGTCAACTCTCAACTGTGCTAGACCCTCTTTTAAGTGGTTCACACATTTGTTCATTTAATCTCATATCCACCCTACGAGGTAGGAACTCTCACTATCTTCATTTTCCTAATGATGAAACTAAGGCACAGAAAGGTGAAGTAACTCCCCCAAGGTCACACAGTGGCTGAGTCAAAGATTACGCCCAGATTTTCCAATCCCGTATCTCAGTCTCTTAACCACTAGAAACCTTTCCAACAATTGAGATTTTAAAAATGTATACTGAGGCCGGACACGGTGGCTCATGCCTGTAATCCCAACACTTTGGGAAGCCAAGATGGCTGGATTACCTGAGGTCAGGGATTTGAGACCAGCCAGGCGAAACCCCGTCTGTACTAAAAATATAAAAATTAGCCAAGAATGGTGACACACGCCTGTAATCCCAGATACTCAGGAGGCGGCGGCAGAATTGCTTGAACCCAGGAGGTGGAGGGTGCAGTGAGCCAGGACTGCAACACTGCACTTCAGCCTGGGCAATAGAGTAAGACTCAGTCTCAAAAAAAAAAAAAAAAAAAAAAAAAGTATATATTGAGGTCTCAAGTTTAAGGTTTCAGCTTTGCTGTTCCTCTTTATTTAAAACCTTAAGGTGAAATATTTAAACACAAACAAAAAGTGAAATCTGTAAACTGAACAGACTGCATGAAAACATCAGTACAAACCTCCCCTTCAAGGAGAGAAAACGATTTTAATAACATCTTTTGGGTTTTCACCTCTTGGTTGGGTTGCTTAGGGATAAGCCAGAGTTGTCTGCTCTAAATTATAATGTATTGGGGTGAACAGATTACACCCATCAACAGAATATGTGCTATGCATAAAACATCTCTAGGAAGATTAAAAAAAACTAGTAATATATATTGCCTACCGGGGCAGTTGCTGAGTGTTTGGGCAGAAGAAGGAAACAGACTATTCTAGAACATTGTGTACCTTTGGAATTTACAACCATGAAAAGGGATTATCTAATCAAACAGCACAGATTACAGACAGGCTCCTGTTTGTCTTGTTGTGAGTATGTTGCATGTCTGTACTTATGACTTTGAATTCTATTTTTCTTGGTTCTTAGAACATAACCATTTTCTCATATTACTGAGTTTTTCATGAACATGAGTTACTGACTGATTGATTGATTGAGATGGAGTCTTGCTCTTGTTGCCCAGGCTGGAGTGCAATGGTGCGATCTTGGCTCACTACAACCTCCACCTCCCGGGTTCAAGCAATTCTCCTGCCTCAGCCTCCCAAGTAGCTGGGGTTACAGGCGCATGTCACCACATCCGGCTAATTTTTTTGTATTTTAGTAGAGACGGGGTTTCACCGTGTTTCCTAGTCTGGTCTTGAACTCCTGAGCTCAGGAAATCCACCTGCCTCAGCCTCCCAAAGTGCTAGGATTACAGGCATGAGCCACCGTGCCCAGCCATGAATATGAGTTTTATGCAAGCATTCTTGTTAAAAATCTGAAGAAATCAGAGCCCTCCCAACATGGGTAACTTCTATTTCTCAATCTCTCACTTTCCTTTGGGATTTGTCATTACTGGGAATCACAATGTCAACATTCAGAATATCCCATCTCTGAAAAATTCGCCAACAAGTGTTAATCCTATCCTAGGTTTAGGACATAATACTTGGCATTTTTACTATCATTTTCCTCATCGAATCCCCACAAGAGCCTAAGGTAGACATTGTCATCTTCATTCTGCGTGAGTGAGCATAGGGTCGAAAGGTTCAGGCAGCCTAGAAGTCACAGGGCTTACATCTGGATCCGGGAGCCTGGACTGTGGGCTTCATGCCACTTTCTCCTTACCAAAATGCCACCAGTTGGTCTGTGGCACTTTGAAGGGAAGCAGCTCTCCTGCCCCACAGTGCACGTCTCTAACCATAGACACACTCAACAATCATTTATTTATTTTGACACGGAGTTTCGGTCTTGTTGCCCAGGCTAGAGTGCAGTGGCACAATCTCGGCTCATCGCAACCTCACACTTCTGGGTTCAAGTGATTCTCCTACCTCAGCCTCCCGTGTAGCTGGGGTTACAGGCATGCGCCCCATGCCTGGCTAATTGTGTCTTTTTAGTAGAGATGGGGTTTCTCCACGTTGGTCAGGCTCACTCCTGACCTCAGGTGATCCGCCCACCTCGGCCTCCCAAAGCGCTGGGATTATCATTTATTATGGTCCCACAGCATCCACAGATTTGGGACCTGAAAGAGAAAGATGGCATGCTTCCTGCACTCCCAAGTCTCCAAGCAGAAAAGACACTGAGGTGCTCTTCCGGCAGAACGGACAGCATGCACTGCAGCCCAGGGAGCCCCGTGCAGGTCTGGGAAGGCACCGCGGAGCTCAGAAGGGGGACTGAGGGACAATGAAGGGAGGGCAGCAGGTACTGCAGGCAGGAGGAACGATGGGCCCTCGAGCCCAGCAAGGCTGGGCAGCGTCTTTGTAAACAGTGGTGACCATGGTGGCAGGAGCCAGCTGGGGAGGGCTCTTGAATGTCTCTCTGAGGAGCTGGGAAAACTCCTGCCACTGCGTCACTCACGAGGATCACGACAGACTTCCACTATTGTGATACTGAGCAGTCAAATTTTGTTGAGAGAAATTTCATTCCCCACAAGCAAGTGGAAGCAAAACAGGACATGGCTCTTGTGCACCTCATTCTGACCAATTGATACGTGGTGCCTGACGTGGATGTGACTGGGAGCCTGGAGGTCATTGAGGCTCTAGCATGCTCTGAGACTCTGGTTTAGGAGGTGCTCATGCTGCTCAGACCTTCAGGAGGTGGGGAGGGGCTCCATTCCTACAGACAAGGAAATACGCCCAGGCAGGCAGAGTGTCCCCAGGAGACACCATGTAAGCGGCAGAGCCAATATGACCAGGATAGCCAGAGCAACTGAGGTCAGAACATTCCAGTGATGATGGGACCCTGGCGAGGGCAGGCGGCCTGTTTCAAGAGTAACAGGAGCTTGGTCTGGCTGTAGCCAGGTGACAGCACTGAGGATACACTGGATATAAAGGGAGAGCCTGGTGACAACACACCCTGAGAGCTGCTGTGGAGAAAGGCACTGAAGTGGGTTGGAAGTAGGATCCCTCTAGGTGATGGGAACATGGACAATGGTGCATGTGGGATGATAGAAAAGTGGGAGAAACTGGAGAATGGGGGGCTTCCCAGGGCGCTGCTGCCTTGAGTCTGGACACAGTCATGAGGAGGGGAATGATGGGGGTGAGTGGAAGACAAGGGCAGGAGAGGGCTTCAGGGGAGAATTCATGAACTCTTGGACTAGGGCTTCCGGCCGACAGAGCAACTGCCCCATCCCTGAGCCAAAATCCAGAACTTAACAATATACGTGAGATTGTTAGTGAACTTAACAATATATGTGAGTATCAAAAGTGAGATTTCCAGGATACATACACAACAAAAGAAAAAATAAATAAAAACTGGACATCATCAAAATTGAAAGCTTTAGTATTTCAAAGGACATCATCAAGGAAATGAAACAGCTCACAGAGAAAATTTTATAATCATATACCTGATAAAGGGACTTGTGCTCGGCTATAAAAGGATTCTTACAACTCAATAATAAAAAGGCAAATAACTTGATTAAAAAATGATCAAGTGATTTAAACATTGTTGTCTTAAGAAGATATACAAATGGCCAAGAAGCGCATGAAAAGATGCTCGTATCATTCGCCATCAGGGAAATACAAACCAAAATCACAATGAGGTAACACATCACCCCTGCTAGGAGGGCTAAGTTAAAAGACGGATAATAAAAAGCATTGAAGGATGTGGAATAATCAGAACCCTCATACCCTGTTGGATAAAAAATTGTGTTGTCACATTAGAAAACAGCTTGGGAGTCCCTCAAGGGTTACACAGTTTCCACGTGATCCAGCAAATCTGTTCCGAGACATATACCAAAGAGAAATGAAAGCATACATCCACGCAAAAACTCGTACATAAATGTTTCTAGCAGCATTATGTGTAATAGTCAAGAAGTAGAAACAACCCAAATGGCCGCCCATCGATGCATGATAAATAAAATGCAGTACTGTCATCCCATACAATGGAATATTAGCCGACAAAAAAATAAAGTTGAACACATGCTACAACATGGTTGAATGTTGCTTATAACACTGAAAAGGAAATACCGAAAGAAAAAGAGTCTTAGCTTAAATATCATTTTTGTTTTTTTCAAGAGGCCTAGCCTGCTCAAATTATCCTGTCTAAAAACAAAAACTCTTCCAATATGTAAGGTGAAAATAAAAAAAACATTTTTAAAAGTTTAATATAACTAGTGAAGTAATTTCAGGTCAAGTTTATTATATCAAAATTATATTGATGGGTGGGATAAATACTTTAGAGAGAGTCACACTCTCGGATGCATTGGCTCCAAAAGAGCTTGGAGCTTTTCTGAGGCTGAGCATCCTCCAACCAGGTGCATGCACTGATTTTTCCAACATTATCACCATGCCCAAGCCAGCCCCTTCACACACTGGCAGCTCCTACCTGGGCCCTCCTTGTAGCCCTAAGTTTTATGTAACCAGTGTACACAACACATTGATAACCAATTGACAAATGTGAGTCATGATTTTTTAAAATGTCAGTGTTTGTGAATTGGAATGGGCAGGAGGTGGGATGCAGAGTCCTTGGTCAGGAATGTGACCCCAATTTTAACACTGCTTTTAGGAAAAAAAAAAATCCTTTTATGATGCCACTTCCTGGGACACGGTGAGTTGACAATTAAAAACTCTCTTGAGAGATGCAGGAGAAAAAACAAGCCCAGGAAAGTCTGCAGACATGGCGGAGGAAGAAATTTGGGATGCAATCACAAGCCGCAGAGCGAGCATGAGCTGGCTGAAGTCAGCAGAGACAAGAGGGTGGCAGGCACGGCAGAGGAAGAAATTCGGGATGAAATCACAAGTGGCAGAGTGAGCATGAGCAGGCTGAAGTCAGCAGAGACAAGAGGGTGGCAGGCATGGCAGAGGAAGAAATTCGGGATGAAATCACAAGTGGCAGAGTGAGCATGAGCTGGCTGAAGTCAGCAGAGACAAGCGGGTGGCAGGCACGGCAGAGGAAGAAATTCGGGATGAAATCACAAGTGGCAGAGTGAGCATGAGCAGGCTGAAGTCAGCAGAGACAAGAAGGCAGCAAGGCCCAGCCTTCTCTTCCCTCTCCCGCAGCGTCTAGGGCCACGTCCACGGCGCCACCTGCTCCTTTCATCCCAACTGAAAAGGGTGCCCTCATTCTTTCCTTTTTGCAAATGCTGATGAGAATTAACCAGAGGAATTTCCTCCACAGCAACTACAGCAAGACGTCCTCATCCAGTCCTATCTCATTTCCAGGTGGGGAAACTGGGGCCCAGCAAGGGAACAGGCCAAACCACAATTTTAAAAAAGTTGTGTTGAAGGTGCTCTGGAAGCCTGCATTCAGAGGAAACCGTGCAGGTATAAATAGATCAATTGGAGCTGATCTGATGGAGACAGGGGATTCAGCCACGCAGAGGCCCTGCAGTAACTTTGTTTCCTGTACTCTGATGCTCTGGCATCCAGGCCTCGCTGACCTGGACAGACTGCTCCCCCCAGGCTAGCCAATCCCCCAGTCCCTAGAGACAGCAAGCATCGGGCGGCTGAGAGCAGCCTTTCCTATGGAAACCATCGAATCCGGAGCAATAGCACCAGCTGCCTCCTTCTCGTGGCTCTCCCGGGCTGTCACACCCCACACCAACATTCCCGTCCTGATTATCCCGGGGCGAGGTATCAGACAAAGAAGGCAGCCCCTATGCTGAGAGCCACTGAATTACTCAAGCCAACTACCCCTAAACCTGTCTTCCCTGCTTACTCTGCCTTGCCCATTGCTTCCTGAGAAAACCACAGTGAAGTCCCTTGCACACACGTTCCGCTCCCTCCTTCCACCTTCTGACATACCCTGGGGCTTTCCTATGTGGCCCCTCCTCCCAGAACCATGAGTAACAAACGCTCCTTTCCAGTCCTCTCCTCAGCCACTGGCTTTACCACAGCTGGATGAGATGGTTTAAAACTGGCCCATTCTAGAAGTAAACATTATTCTCAGAAGTCCTGTAATGAGGATTCAGAAAATTCACATTGTGGAGGTGCCACGACTCAGGAGAGCCTGGCCAGCGAGATGCCACCCAATGGCTCCTGACCGTGGGCAGAGAAGGGACCAAACATGGAGAGAGGCGTGGCCTGGAGACAAGGAAAAGGACCAGAGGGCACAAAAGGAAGAGCCTGGCAAGGAGGTGGGGTACAGTGGCACCCAGGCAGTGTGGCATTAGGAAGGGGACAGAAAGAAAACAGTGCGGTGGCACAAGACCTGGGCAGCCGCCAGCAGGCTCGGGCCAGCTCAGCCATCCAGTTCTTCCTTGATGGTGATGTGCAGAGGGCAGATGCGCAAAGGCTCAGGGGGACCGGCTCCCCGCGCACCCCCCAAGTAGAAGTAGGGCCGCACGTCCCCAAAGCGGGCGTGGAAGGTGTACAGGTGGCAGTGGCGCTCCGCATCATAGAAAGACAGCTCACCCTCCTCACACTCCAGCTCCACACGCAGGCGGCGTGGGATGGCCAGGACCAGGGGCGCCGTGGCTGGGTCCGAGGTCACGCAGTGGTCCCCCTCCACACCCTGCGTGCGGCACACATACCAGAAGCCTGAGCGCGTGTCGTGGTAGCAGCTGTGTGAGTGACCTTCGGCGCCTGAGTCTTGGCGCACACGCACCACCCCCACCCGCCAGCTCTGCAGCCCCCCCAGGGCCACCTCCCAGGCGTGCGAGCCCCGAGAGAAGACGCGGGCACCCAGCAGGCAGGGCGCCGAGGAGAAGCGCTCCGGGTTCTCCACCTGCACCCGGTAGCCGTGGTTGGTGACACTGGTAAGGTCCTCGGACACGGAGAGCCAGCCGGCTGCGGTATTGGGGTCAAAGGTAAAGGGCACTGCAAGCAAAGGCAGAAATGGGGAATCAGCAATCCTGAGGCCTGTTAGGCCAACGTTGACGTCTCCAGCCCCACAAACCAACCACTATGTCCCACCTGGCCCCAGTCCATGCAGGGGGCGGCCCAGGGCTGGAGCAGTGGCAGGGGTTGGGCTGTGTGCCCAGAAGATATGTGGCAGTCCCAACCCCTGGTACCTCAGAGTGTGACCTCATTTAAGAATTGGCGGTTGTAGATGTATTAGTAAAGATGAAAACTGGAAGACAGTCCCCAGTCCAATATCAGCCATGTCCTTATAAAAAGAGGAGAGACAGGCTGGGCATGGTGGGTGACCAACTAATGCATCTCCTATGAAGGAGTGAAGATTCTCCTCTACAAGTTTCAGAGGGGGCCTGGCCCTGCCAACATCTGGATTTGGGATTTCTAGCCTCCAGAACTGTGAGAGAGTCAAATTCTGTCATTTGTGGTCCTTCATTATGGCAGCCACAGGAACTCATACAGGCAGAGACTTGTAACAGTCACACAACCCAGGGATGTTAGGACAGCATGGACCATTGCCTGGGTTAATGATATTCATCCCTGTAAAACCGGGACACAGCAGCCCCTGTGGCTCTCGTCACCTTGGGAGAGGCGATCCTGGATGGAAGAGGTCTTTTATCATACAAAATACAGTTTTGAATAGACAAGCCAGCTTCCCTCTCTGAAGAGGGGACCAAGTGTCAGGGCCCTGAGAGGAAGGCATTCTGCCGGGAGGTTTGGAGGTGTTGGGCAGAGTGAAGAAGACCAGGGCACGGGAACCTGCCTACCAGGGACTGGCAGAGGGATCAGCTGAGAGAGGAGGGGAGCTCTGAGGAGGTGGGAGATGGGCCCTGCAGAGACCAGACCTGGTGGCTCTTTGCTAACATGAGGGCTTCCACCCTGCTTGGGACACCTGCCCGCACCCCTGCTCACCAGATTCCACAGATCCAAGCATCTTCTTCCAGACTCGGTACTGCAGGGAGCCCAGGTACTTGCAGACATCAATAAGCATGCCAGTCTGGACTGGCTCGGGCTCCATGGTGCAGAAGAGTCTGGAAAAGCACAATGGGGTATGGTGGGCAGAGCCAGCACCATGCATCCCAGGCCGAACTGGGCTCACTGGAAACCAGCAACAGGACTTGTTCCCTTCCCTCAGCCAACTTTCCTGGCCACCTTCCCCAAGACAAGACTGGACTGGGCCATGATGGGAGATGGGCCAAGGCTAATGGGTTGCTGCCTCCTTCAGAATTCAGGCCAAAGGCTCACTTGCCCCAACTAGCAGAACTCCAAACAGGAGATCTCCAACATGGCTGCCATCCTTGCAGGCAGAAATCACATTTACACATCCTGTTCATGGGATGTCTGGGTTGGAAGGGACACTAAGGATGCTCTAGTCCAACAGTTCCTAGGTGTCCTCTGGCCCTTGCTTACACACCGCCAAAGGGAAGTGGGCACAGGGAACTTAGGCCCACCAAAAGCACTCTCTTCCATCTTTAGAAAGCTTGGACTAAGACACAGTTCCTCCTCATTCATCCCTGTGAACTCAACAACCATCAACACAAACTATTATGACCTAAGGCTCTGAGAGCCAGGGGGCTGACCTGACACTGGCTGTCCCCCTGGGAATTCAAGCCACATGCAGGATGGTGCTCTCCTTCCCTGCATGGCAGGTGGGGATCCTCCACACTCAGAAGAACAATACTGCCCACAGCCAACTGGTATTGGATGCTGTGAGAGGCCTCTCTCCACCTGCCCATTGCCCACCATGCCCTCTAAAACCAGGGCACAGTAGCTCATGTGGGCTGATGCACCCAGCTGGCTGTCCCCTGCCTGGCCTGGGCCCGCTGGAGTCTGCACCCCTTATGTCTCTGCCCGCTCTTTCCCTCCCCTCCAACAGCTTTGGCAACTTACCGGCGTTTTCGGCCCTTATGTTTCTGAAAAAAACAAAAAAATAAAAAAACAAACAAAAAAACACAGAGACAGAAATGTAGAGGAAATCTATACGTTTTTGACCTCAAAGAGTCATGCATTCCATAGATCATAAGTCTTAATATTGTCAAGATGTTAACAGTAACATCCCTGCTATGATCTGAGCATATTATCCAAAAGTTCACTGAATCCCCAACGTGACAGTGTTGGGAGGTAGGTCCTAAAAAGAGGCGACTGGATCATGAGGGCAGAGCCCTCACCAATGGCTGAATGTCATTACTGTGAAGTGGTTTCGTTATCATGAGCCTGGGCTGCTGTGAAGCAATGAGCGACTACTCTGTCTTGCACACTCACTTCCTCCTTCTGCCATGAGATGACCCACACCAAATGCCAGAGCCGCCATGCTCCTGGATTTCCTGGCCTCACCCAGAACAATGAGCTGAATAAACTTGTATTGTTTATAATTTACCCAGTCTGTGATGTTCTGTTATAGCAACAAAAAACATACGAAGATACTCCGTAATTTGATCTGTTGATTCAGTGTGATCCCTTATCCTAGCTGACTTCTTTGCAGAAACTAAAAAACTGATCCTAAAATTCACATGGAATTTTGAGGGAACCAGAATAGCTAAAACAATCTTGAAATAAAAGAACAACATTAGAAGACTCATAATCCCCATTTCAAGAGTTAATGCAAATCAACAGTAATCAAGATAGTATGGCACTAATATCAGTACAGGCATTGAGATCAATGGAATAGAAATGAAAGTCCAGAAATAAACCCTCATATTTACCATCAATCAGTTATTTACAAGAGTGCCAAGACAATTTAATGGAGGAATAAACAGTCTTTCCAACAAATAGTACTGGACAACTAGATGTTGACATGCAAAAAAAAAAAAAAAAAAAAAAAAATGAAGTTGGACCAACCCTTACTACACCATATACAAAAAATAACTCAAAATTCATCAAAGACCTACATGTAGAACTAAAACGGACAAAGGACTTCTGTCTAGAATATATAAAGAACTCTTACAACTCAGCAATAAAAAGACAACCCAAGTTAAAAATGGGCAAAGAATCTGAACAGACATTTGCCCAAGGAACATCTACTAATGATCCAAAAGCCCATGAAAAGATGTTCCAAGTCATTAGCCATCAGGGAAATGATGACATACAATACACAATGAGATACCGCTTCACATCCACAAGGATGGTTATAATTTTTTCCTTTTTTTTTTTTTTTTGAGACGGAGCCTTGCTCTATTGCCCAGGATGGAGTGCAGTGGCACGATCTCAGCTCACTGCAACTTCTGCCTCCCAGGTTCAAGTGATTCTCCTGCCTCAACCTCCTCAATCTCCTGTAAGCTGGGATTACAGACACAAGCCACCATGCCCGGATAATTTTTTTGTATTTTTAGTAGAGATGGGGTTTCACCGTGGTAGCTAGGATGGTCTCAATATCCCGACCTCGTGATCCACCCACCTTGGCCTCCCAAAGTGCTGGGATTACAGGCATGAATCACCATGCCTTGCCCGGTTATAATTTTTAAAAAATAAATTTTGGCAAAGATGTGGAGAAACTGGAATCCTCATACACTCCTGATGAGAATATAAAATGATACGGTTGCTCTGGACAACGGCCTAGCAGTTCTTCCAATAGTTAAACCTAGAGTTACCATAAGATCCAGGAAATCTACTCCCAGATGTATTTCCAAGAAAAATAAAAACATGTCCACATAAAAATTGCTATCTGAATGATTATAGCCTTATTATTCATAATAGCCAAAGCAGAAACAACCCAAATAACCACTGTCTTAGTCCATTTTGTGTTGCTGTAACAAAACACCACAGACTGGGTAATTTATAAACAATAGTTTGTTTGACTCGTGGTTCTGAAGCTGGGAAGTCTAAGAGCATGGCACCGGCATCTGATGAGATGCCTTCATGCTGTGCCATCCCGTGGCAGAAGGAGGAAGGGCAAGAGACCACACATAAAACCAAAAGCAAGAGAGCAAGGAGGGCCCAAACTCACTTCATGACAAGCCCACTCTCTCCATAACTAACCCACTCTGCCAGTAACAACATCAGCCCATTCATAAGGGCTCTCATGACCCAATCACCTCTTATTAGGCTCCAACTCCCAACAGTGTTGTATTGGGAATTCAGTTGACAGCACATACATTTTGAGGAACATATTCAAACCACCAAACCACAGCAACCCCCAACTGATACATCAATAAATAAAATGCAATATAGCCATGTGCAACATAACAATGTTTCGGTCAGCAAGGAACCGCATATATGACTGTGGTCCCATGAGAGTATAAGACTATATTTTTGCTGTACCTTTTCTATGTTTAGATATGCAAATACTTCACAGTTGGTTCCTGTTGCCTACAGTATTCGATACAGCAACACGCTGCACAGGTCTGTAGCCTAGGAGCAAGAGGCTATTCCATATAACCCAGGTGTATGGTAGGCTACACCATGCAGGTTTGTGTAAACATACTCTATGACATTTGCATAATGAAAAAATTGCCTAATAAGACATTTCTCAGAACATATCCCCATCATTAAGCAATGCATAATTGTATGTCTATGCAATGGAATACTGTTCAGTCGTAAAAAGGAATGAGGTACTGACAGATGCTACATGCAACATGAATGAAGTTTCACAACATGCTGAGTGAAAGAAGGCAGTCATGAGAGGTTACATATTATATAATTCCATGCATTTGAAATGTCTAGAATAGGTAAATCTATACAAATAATACGTAGCTTGGTGGTTGCCAGGGGCTGGGGAGGACGGACTGTGGAGTGACAGCTAAAGCAGGGCTGCTTTTGGAGGCATGGAATGTTCTAAAATTGTCGTGATGGTTGTATAACTCAGTATATACTAAAAATCACTGAGTGGTATATTTTAAATGACTGAATTGTTTAGCATATAAATTATATCACAATAAACTTAGTAACAAATAAAAAAGAGACACAAACCAAATCATTCCTGAAAGCACTCTGGGTACCGGGCAAGACAACACTCCCAATTCCCTAAACAGAATCCACGAGAAACACATCTTTTAGATCCCACAAAATGATTTTTCTTATTTTTTTTTCTTCATTTTTCTTTTCAGAGACAGCTCTGAACACAGAATGATTTTATAATCAAGGACATTTTGGAGACAGGAGACTTCATGGTTCAAGGCCTTAAGTGAGGTGGAGAACTCCTAAAGGTCCCACCCAGGAGATGACACCTGCCTGCCGCCACCCACTCCACTCTACAGCAACCCCTCTTCCAGAGCAGTCAGCTGTTTTCCAGGTACAGGAGACACCTCGCCACCCTGGCCAGTTTACAAACCAGCTTTCAAGCCCAAAAATTTCCTTGTAGGAAGTTTGTAAGGACCAATGGCTCATGGGGAGGAAATAAATCAGTAAAAGGAAAAAAAGTGAACAACACTTTTTTTAGAGAGAATAGAATCATCCTTGAGAAGACAGAATGCCAAGGCATCATGTTTAAATAAAACAATTTAAATAATTGAATAATTTTAAAAGAATTCATTTTATTAAAAGGTAGAAACAGAAAAAAAAAATCAGAGTAAGAGAGGGGGCACGAGAAAGGAAGAAAGAAGAGGCAGGAGCTGAGCACAGTGGTGCGCCAGTAGTCCAACCACCCAGGAGGCCAAGGTGGGAGCATCACCTGAGACCAGGAATTCAAGACCAGCTTGGGCAACACAGTGAGACCTCCCCTCACTCCCACCTGACTCTTAAAAAATGAAAAAAATCAGCCAGGCCTGGTGGCTCGTGCCTGCAGTCCCAGCTACGCAGGAGGCTAAGGAGGGAGGTTCCCTCGAGACCAAGAGTCTGAGGTGACATTGAGCTATAATCACCCGCTCTACTCCAGCCTGGGTGACAGAGCAAGACCCTGTCTTAAAAAAAAAAGAAGAGAGAGCAAGAAATAAGAGGCTTTCAAGGAACTCTACCCTGGTAAGTCTTTTGAGCTTCATGACATGAGCATAGCAGGTCACTTGTGAGCTCCTCCAGGCCAGTACCCAGGAAGCCCCAGGAACATGAGGTTGGCCAGGGCTGGTGGGCTGTGACTCCCAGCTGGTCCCAGAACATCTGGCCCTGTCACTGAATCCAGATGCTGAGCTCCTTACCATGAGAAAAGTAACATCATCCTCCTTCATCTCCATCTGCAGCCGCTCGATCTCATGTGCCAGCGCCTCTGTCTCCTCTGTGAGCTGCTTCATCTTCTCCTCGGCCAGAAGCTGCTTCTGCCTTGTCTCCTCGGTCATGGCATCCAGAATGCCCTGCTCCTCCACTCTCAAGAACTCACGAAGCTTATCAAACTCCTGCCGGATCCGGCCTTCCAGCCATGCGGCCTCCACCTACAGCAGAGAGCAGAGGGACTCAGGGGTCAGATGTGGAGGGAACCTCCAAAGCCCAGCAACTTTCCCATTTTTACAAAGGAATTTTATGTTCAAAGAAATCATGTACAGAACCCCTACAGATAAAATACCAACATAATAGTTTATTAGCACACATTTCTAAGTTCAGATTTCAAAAGGCAAAGTCCAACAACCTAATAATAGGTTGTTTTGACAGGGTTTTTAAAAATAAAATCACTGCTTCTAGATGTCAACTGTAGTACTATCATCTCACCTACATACAACGTTCAGTTCCTTCTTTACGCTGCACCATAACCAGGGAAGTCCTGAATCATAGAAATAAATGGCTGCAAATAGCATTGATTTTTTTTAAAGTATTTGCCTTCCAGTCTTAGGACTTAAAATTTGTCTGATCCAGAGGCTTTACCAAAAGAGCAGTAGGAAGTATTCATTTAAAAAAATCATTAAAATCACCATACATACTCGAAATCTTAACCACAAAAAGTTTGTTAAAAAAGAAAGATAAAGCCATAAACGTACTTAAAGAAAAAGCAAATAAATATTTCTCTGCTTAGAATAAGAAAGGCATTCCTTAGCAAAGTATGAAATTGAGAAGCCTCGAAGAGAGAATGAGATAACTGAATACACAGAAAATAAGAAGTGTGTATGATAAGAGACTATTCTCTTTTGAGGACAAAAATTCAATTCCATGACAGCTGTTAGAAAAACAATTCAAAATACGTGCTGTGGCAATAGCAGGTTAGTAATCTCATCTTTGGACTGAAAGTTAAATATAGATGCTCCTCAACTTAATATGGGGTTACATCCCAATAAACCCATCGTAAGTTGAAAAACTGTTAAATCAAAAAAGCAATGAATACACCTAACCTATTAAAAAATCATAGCTTAGCCTAGCCTACCTTAAACGTGCCCAGGACACTTACATTACCCTACGGTTGGGCAGAATCATCCAACACCAAGCCTATGTTATAATAAAGCATTGTATGTCTCATGTAATTTATTGATGACTGGACTAAAGGGAAAAAACAGAATGGTTATATGTGTACTAAAAATATAGTTTCTACTGAATGTGTATTGTTTTGCACCACGGTAAAACCAAAACTAAGCCAGGGATTGTTTGTATGTTTACAGCTCCGAAAATACAATGACAAAAGGATTCACTGAAAAAGTGAAAATGGCCCCCCAAAAGTGAAAATGATCCACTGAAAAAGAAATGACAAACTAGGAAATATATTTGTAACATTTTTGAGAAATTGATATTATTCTTAAGGTACAGAGCACTCTTACAAATCCTCTAAAAGATAAATATTCCAAGGGAAAAAAGAAATGTGAATTAGCATTCACAGAAGAAACATAAACGACTATTATACTTGTGAAAACAAGTATAGTCACATGTTATTGGTATAAACTTACCAATAATCAAAGAAATGCAAATGAGGAACAAATAGCATGGTTAATCTATTGGGCTGAAAAGACTGACAATGTCTGCGTGGGAGAGAGTAGAATCCAGGGTAATTCTCTTTTTTAAAAAATTTAAGTTCCAGGATACATGTGCAGGATGTGCAGGTTTGTTACATAAGTAAATGTGCACCATGGTGGTTTGCTGCACAGACCAACCCATCACCTAGGTATTAAGCCCCACATGCATTAGCTATTTATCCTGATGTTCTCCCTCTCCCCGATAATTCTTATCTCACAGAAAGATCAAGAACAGAGCATGGCAGAATAAACCAGCAGGTGCAAGGTCAACTCCTGCCCACTCACCGTGGCAATGACAGCCTCACTGTAAAGGAACAAGCACCAGAACTTTCACTTTTCCATCAATCTGATTAACTGAATTTAACAGGAAAAGCATTAATCAGGCTGGAATCTTAGGGGCTTCCCATGTGACCTCTTACCCTCAGCCTCAGCAAAAAGCTTGGGACTCCTACACTCCCTGGGATGGGCAGGCAGTGCTGCCACTTGGACAGACAGATGCTCCCTAAGTATCACCAACCCAGTCGTGTACAAGGCAAGCCAGTCACATGGCTTTAGCCACAAAGGGAAACCAAGTAAGCCAACAATGATAAAGTTACAGGACTCCATGATGACTACTGGAAAACGACTCAACAAACGCCAGCAACGGCAGGTTTGTAATCTCTATTTGGAGTTGGAATTTCCACATATATTTGTGGCTCTGACATATGACGACAAAATAATCCACTGAAAAAGTGAAAATTCTCTCCCACCAGTTTTCGGGTCTATTAGACACCAGAAATGTTAATGACTTCTCTCCGTTGGGCACTTGCATGCATTATCTTATCAGGATTTTTTTAAAAATCCTAAGTAAGAGGGAATTGCCCTGTTTTCACAGAGGAGGGGATTAGCTTGGAGGGGGCTGAGGGATTTGATGGGAGAACCGGGCTTGAATTTGGAAATGGGTCTGCCCTGGTTACGGGTTACTGCCCTGGTGCCCAGAGTGTCCCATAATCCTTTCTTCCACTTTGTTCCACCAGCTTTGTGGCTCAGGGTAAACTCCAGGCCTGGATGTTGACGAGGCTCTTTCCGTGGCCTAAACCTCACCCATGGACATATGATGGAGGGGACTACAGGCTCCTGAGGACAGCGTCCAGCAACGCAGACCAGGTGTGGCTCAGCTGTGGCTAGGATGTCTAACAGAGTGGTAAATACTAGAAGCAGCCACCTCAGAAAGCAAAAGACCAGAGCCAAGATCAAGTCAGAAACAAGGTTGCCAATCCACACAGGACCCAGAAGAAGAAAGGGTGCCAGGTAGGACAACCAGAGCGGGGACAGAGAGAGGCCATTCATTCATTTGATTGACAGTTATTGGTTACTTACCCACTTCACACATTCAATCAACAAACATTTTTATTGGTCACTTATTGTGTGCCAAGAACTCCTCTAGATAATTAGCAATAGTGTGCCCTGTTTTCATTATATTCTGATGGGAGGGGATAAAAATTAAATAGAAAACAAAAGGTAATTACAGGTAATGGAGTGTCATCAAGAAAATAAACCAAGAAGTATGCCATTGAGTAAAAGAGGAGGGTGATCAGGAAAAGCTTCTTGAAGGGGACATCTGAGCTGAGATTTTAATGGCAAAGATGCTGGGTGTGCATTCTGTGGAGAAGACTTAGTTTGCTTAAGGGACAGAAAGAAGGTGAGGCAGAGAAGCAAATGAGGTTGAGGACAGGCAGGGTCAGGCGATGGCCTTGGGGACCATGGTATGGAATCTGGGAGGTAATGAGGGTGACCGGAAGCCACTGGCAGTTTTAAGCAGCAAAGGAGCAGGGCTGGTGTCTTTTTCTACATGATTGCCCCAGTCTATGGAAAGCAGAATGTACAAGAAGGGAAGCACGAGGTCCAGGCAGGAGGCCCAGTGAGAGAGGACGGTGACCTGGACCAGGAGGTGGAGAGTTTGACAGAAATAACATATTTTGGAGATGGGGGAATAGGACTGATGATGGAGTGCATGTGGGAACTGAGAGAAAACAAGAAATTCATGAATCCCAGGTCATCACTGAACACCCAGGTGGCGGTGGTACGATGCACGTGCCATAGCACTGATGGTGTTGGTAGCTTTTTAAGTCACTCCTGTGGCTGCTGGCATGACCACGCCTGGGTCTTTAGAGAGGCCAAGGCAGAGGAGCCATGGTCAGTGTCTAGGATGTGGCTGCACAGGGCCATCAGAGGTAAGGCAGGCCACCTCTTCCTGGCAGATTATGCGAACCAAAGTCTGGGCCGATGCATCTTCGCTCCTTCCCAGCTGCCCTGAATGTCCCCAATCTCCCCACTCAGCCCCATTGTTCACTTACCTGATTGTGCTTGGCGATGGCCTCATAGGAGCGCCGCATGGCCCAGAAGGCCTTGGCCTTCTCCCGCAGAGCGTGCTCCATGTTCCTGCACTTAGCCTGATGTGGGAATGGGAAGGAGGCAGGAAGGCAGGTTAGGGCTGGAGGCCCGGCAGGGAGGGCAGACACATCACATTTCCAACTGGAACTCCACTTCCACACAAGTGTAACTCAGCTGCATTTGCCGAACCCCACCCATGCCCGCACTGTGGTCACAGACAAATGGTAAGTACGGTCCTGATCCTGAATCAGACGTATGTCTGTGAGATAAAGGGCCCTCAGACATCCTCTAGCCCAGCCTGGTACAGACTGGGAGATGGGGCTGAGAAGCAACCTGCTCTCTCTCATGTTGCTTACCACACAGGTTAGAAGAGTGTCCCAGGCGAGCCTAAAGCTGGTCCACGCTGGCTCTGAATCCCTGAGCTGTGTGGACAACTGCAGACAGTGTGCTCACAGGTTCCCTTTGCAGTTCCCTAAACCGATGGGTCTGCAATCGCTAAGGTGCGGAGACTGACAGAGGGGATAAAGCCAGTCACTTCCCATGGGGTTGTTACCTCCCATGAGGCCTTGACCTCAACACGCCCCTCCCTCCACACCCCTCCCACACCCTGACTTTCTAACACTGCCTGGATCGCGTGGAATACTTTAATCAGCAGCCACAAATATTTTTCACTTAGTCGTTTTCATTTCTTAAACTTTAATTATTGTTTCTGTTGTTCTTGGACTCCTTGAAGAACCGCTACAGAGTTTTAGGTTGGATTCCTGCCTCTTGATTCTGACTGAGGTCTATCATTTTCTCTCCCTCTTTATCCTTTTGATCTACATTCTCAGAAAGCTTCTCAAGTTTTTTAAGAAAAAAATAATAATTTGAGGCCGGGCAAGGTGGCTCACGCCTGTAATCCCAGCACTTTGAGAGGCCGAGGTGGGTGGATCACTTGGAATGTGGCTTAAAAGGTATTGAGAGGACCTTCAGCTTAGATCCAGCCAGAGGGACTCTAAGATGTTGACCGCAGAGGGGGAGAGGACTGGGACCAAGGAGAGTCTGCTGGCAAAGAATGGCCATCATGCCAGTCCTGAGAGATGGATAAGACAAGGGTCTGGACAAGGCAGCTCAGCACAGAGCCGGAGAGCTCTGGACTGGGAGGCAGGAAACCTGTGTTCTTATCCTAGTACTTTATTTATCTATTTATGTAAGAGACAGGGTGTCACTCTGTTGCCCAGGCTGGAGTGCAATGGCCCAGTCATGGCTTACTGCAGCCTCGAATGCCTGGCCTCAAGCAATCCTCCCATCTCAGCCCTGAGTGTCCTCCCATCTCAGCCCTGAGTGTCCCCAATCTCCCCACTCCCCTCAAGTGGCTGAAACTACAGGTGTGTGCCACCATGCTGGCTAATTTTTTTTTTTTTTTTTTTTTTTGCTTTGCTGCAGGATCTTGAACTCCTGGCCTCAAGCAATCCTCTTGCTTCAGCCTCTCCAAGCACTGGGATTACAGGTATGAGATCCACTTCTCATTACTGAGATATAACCACTTCCTCACAAGTCCCCTGTGGGTCTGTGTCTGGGGATGTTTTTGTTTAATGGCAACCTAAAACAATACTAAGACAATGCTACTCCAAGTCACGGCATAAACGGTACTGACACATGCTTTCAGTTCCTACAACTCCAGCACCAGCATTTGTATTTTCTCTCTCTTTTTTTTTTTTTTTTTTTTTTTTGAGACAGAGTTTTGCTCTGTCACCCATGTTAGAGGGTGTGGCATGACCCAGCTCACTGCAACCTCCGCCTCTTGAGTTCAGGCAATTCTCCTGCCTTAGCCTCCCAAGTATCTGGGATTACAGGCACACACCACCATGCCTGATTAAGCTTTGTATTTTTAGTAGAGACAGGGTTTCACCATGCTGGCCAGGCTGGTCTCGAACTCCTGACCTCGTGATCCGCCCGCCTTGGTCTCCCAAAGTGCTGGGATTACAGGCGTGAGCCACCGCACCCATCCAGCATTCGTATTTTCTTTACGGCTTACTTGATATCAAGTCATACGACTTTCATTGTCTTGTCCTGGTAAGAAGAGAAATACACATAGCAGGTAAAGAATGTGCTGGACCCAAATGAAAGCCAGTCCCATCACAAGAAAGCTCTAGAGCTCTTCAGAGAAATTTGGGTAGATTAAGTAATCGAAGAGAGTAATGGGAGAATTAGAAGTATCTTGGCCAGGAGTAGAGATTTCATTCCAGCAAAATAAAACTTTAGAATTAATATTCTGAGTGGAATGTTACTGATTTAAGTTTTGTATCCAATCTGTTTACTTCTTTTGGTTTTATTGCTTATATGTGGTGTGAGCAAGTGTTATTTATACCAGTTTTGCATTTGTATGCATGTAAATATTAAAATAATTTAGCTCTCACTGCTGGACTAGTTTTTCCTTTAACAAGAATGCATACTTGTTCAAGTTTGAGAAATGCTGTACTAGGATTTCTGAAGGTCCTTTTAAGCACTGTTCCTTGCTAGAGCTCTGGTGTAAGCAAGATGCCAGGATCCCAAATCTCATCAGTCCTTCCATCGTGTGCCACTGCACTTACGACAAAATCCCAGCTCCTGAACATGGCCCTCAGTGTCCTGTGGGATCTGTCCTGCACTCCCTCGTCCCCACGTGAAACGTCTCTCCATCACTGCACACCCCCACGCTGTACCCCCCTCACTGCTGGCCACCCCTTGATCAGCTCATCTCAGCAAAATCACTTCCTTGGAGACTCCTTCCCACGCCCCACCAAACAAGAGCGGCCTCCCCTAACAATCTGCCACCACATCCTGTACTGTCCTTCACAGGAACACTGAGGTGAAACTATGTTAACTATTAGTGAGATGACAAAACTATGCCCACAAAGGCAAGGTCTAGGACTGTCCTGTCCTGGACACACCGTACTGGCACACAGGAGGCACTCAACCCGTACCTTCTGCCAGCCCTGACAGTGGTCAACAGCCACACAACCCCCAACACACAGTCAGCTGCCCACACACATCTGGGATGAGAGAAGCCTCTCTCTTAAAGTCGAGGACCAGAGTGTGGACTGAACAAGACTCCAGGTGACCTTTAAAACTACTTGCTCTGTGGCCTTGGACAAGTTTCTTACCCTCTCTACGATTCCATCGTTGTCTATAAAATGGGGATAATAGTACCTACCTGTAGCAAGCTGAATAATTATCTCCCCCAAAAGATGTCCCCATTCTAATGCCCAGAACCTGTGAATATGTTACTCTGTATGGCAAAGGGACTGTGCAGATTAAGGATCCTGCCATGGGGAGGTTATCCTGGATTACCTGGGTGGGCCCAATGTCATCACAGGGTCCTCATGAGAGGGAGGTGGAAGTAGTAGAACTGGTCAAAGAAGGCAGAGTGACAATAGACGCAGGATGGAATGCTGTACCTGAGAGCCAGAGGCAGGAGCCTCTGAGAGCTGGAACAGGCAAGGGAATAAATTCTCCCTTGGAGCTTACAAAAGGAATGTAGCCTTACAGACACCTCGATTTTAGGACTTCTGAACTCCAGAATCATCAGAGAACAAATCTGTGCTATTTTAAATCACCACATTTGTGGCCATGTATTATAGCAATAACAGGAAACTAAGACAGGACCTGATGATAAGTTTTTGTAAGCATTAAATTCGTTGACATGTGAACACCTGAAAGCATCTAGCACGCAGTGAGCACTGAAAGTGTTCGCTGGAATGACTCTGATTTTTGCTGTTTATCACATAGTTGCCAAAGTAATCTTTGTCTAAGGCACACACCTCATCACAAACTCCCCTGTTCAGAATCTTTCAGATCTCCCCACAGCACACAATGGAAAACTCCCTCTGCGAGGCACACAGCTTCTCGCCTAGCCCCTTTACACCTAGTGGTGGGGGAACCTTCCCATACTGCTCCCCCACAACCACCTACCTCGAATCACACAGAACTACATCTTGTCTATTGACTGTCTACACCCCCTGCTCAAATGAGAATTCCACGAAGCTAGGAAGAGGCCATGGCATGCAACAACCGTCAATACCCATTTGTCCAGTATATGAGTGATTTGCACCCTGCATCAGGCTGACCAGCTCTCATTCTCCTCAGATCCCTTTGGGACTAGACTACTCAGCCCCTCTGACATCATCCTGGGTGTCCACTGATCTGATACCACTATCCTTCTGCCAAAACCCCCAGCTGCCATTCACAGCAAGGGGGAGCCACAGGCCTCCTGGATCCTCCTGCACTTCCATCCTCATTCCAACCACCTGAAATTCCCTCAGGGCCTGGAAAGTCAAGCTTTCCCACTTCTGGACTCTTCCAAATGCTGCTGCCTCTACCTGAAATACCCTTTCACCTGGCTAACACCTCCCCTTCCCTCGGGTCTCTGCTGGAAGCTCCCTGAGGCTGGAAATTGTCTATCTTATCTCCTGCAGTATCCCTGGCATCTGCTGGTGTGTGGCTTTCTGCTCTTGAATCCTGGCTTGACCCCAACCTGGGGGCTCTGCCTGGGTTTTCTCAGCCTTGACCCCTGCCCATCTCCTGACTGGCACCTCAGCCAACCCTATAGGGATTAGTCATGACTTGAACCATGATCCCTCCTTTTCCTGGGCCCCAGCCCCCAGACTGGCCAGCACTTACTCCCGCTATCCCAAATCAGGATCTGCCACTTCTGCCACTGGAAACAGAAAAAGCATTGACATGGATCCATGTTAAGCAAAAAACTTGACAGAATAGGGACATGTGTACTCTTCACTTAAACTTTGTTAAATGTGTATAGAGCAGTAACAGACTTCTGTATTTAACAAAAAGTATTGTTAAAAAAAAAAAAAAAAGGCAGGGCCAGGTACAGTGGCTCAGATCTGTAATCCCAGCACTCTGGGAAGCCAAGGCGGGCAGATCATCTGAGGTTGGGAGTTTGAGACCAGCCTGACCAACATGGTGAAAACCCACCTCTACTAAAAATACAAAAACATTAGTCAGGCTTAGTGGCGGGTGCCTATAATCTTAGCTACTTGGGAGTCTAAGGCAGGAGAATCGCTTGAACCTGGGAGGTGGAGGTTGCTGGGAGCTGAGATCTCGCCATTGCACTCCAGCCTGGGTAACAGAGTGAGACTCCATCTCAAAAAAAAAAGAAGGCAGGGCCACAGAGGAGCCCAGAGACCAGGTGCTGAGGACTCCAGCAGCTCCTCCTTGCCAGTCCATGCAGCTTCAGACCAGCTACCCAGTGTTCATGCATTAGCTGGTGATGAAATAAATCCAATGTTTCACATTCTGGGTAATTTTTAAAAGTAAAGTAACAGGCTGGGCGGAGTGGCTCATGCCTGTAATCCCAGCAGTTTGGGAGGCAGAGGCTGGGCTGATCACTTGAGGCCAGGAGTTCTAGACCAGCCTGGCCAACATGGTGACGCCTCATCTTTACTAGAAATTTTAAAAACAAAATTAGCTGGGCGTGCTGGTACATGCCTGTAATCTCAGCTACTCCG